GGCGATCGGCTGCAGCCCGTTCCCGAAATCCTGGAGAAGCACTGCTCCGATGGCGAAATCAGAGGCGTCGGTTACGACTTCGAACGGCTTCGATGGGTCGGCGATGCGCAGCACAGGAGGGGAAACGAGAAAATTCTTGAGCTCCTGGAAAGCCACCTCTGCTTCCTCCCCCCACACGAAATTCTTGTCCTTGTGCAGCAGGTCGGTCAGCGGGCCGGTTATCCCCGCCATATTCGGGATAAACCGCCGGACGTAATTCACGAACCCCAAAAAACTCTGGAGCTCCGTGACATTAGTCGGGGCCTTCCACTCCTGTATGGTTTTAATCTTCGCCGGGTCGATTTTGATGCCGTCGCGGGAGATAACGTGCCCTAAAAACTCCAACTCCTGCTTAAAAAACTCGCACTTAGAGCCCTTGGTGATGAGGCGGTTCTCCTGCAACCGTTTAAATACTGCGTCCAGGTCGCGGAGATGCTGCTCCCGTGTCTTGCTAAAAATCAGGATATCGTCCAAATAGACGATGACACATCGGTCTAGAAGATCGCGAAAAACCCTGTTCATGGTCAGTTGGAATGTCGAAGGCGCGTTCGTGAGGCCGAAAGGCATCACTGTAAATTCGTAACTCCCGTAGCGTGTACGAAACGCGGTCTTGTGACAGTCGTCGGCGAAGACCCGAATCTGGTGGTAACCGCCACGTAAGTCGATTTTCGAGAAGTAGCGAGCGCCGCGAAGTTGATCGAGAAGGTCGTCGGTGCGTGGGATTGGGTAGCGAGATTTGATGGTCACCCGGTTCAACGCGCGATAATCGATGCACATGCGAAGCCCGCCGTCCTTCTTTGGAGTGAACAGGATCGGTGCCGCGAACGGGGAGGTGCTCGGCCGAATGAAGCCTTTCTCCAACAGTGCAACAATTTGTCGGCGTAGCTCCTCGAGTTCCGGTTGGGTCAACCGCCACTGTGTCCGAACAGTAGGTTGCGCGCCAGGTTCCAGCTGGATTTTATGGTCTTCGGGTCTTTCGGGTGGCAGCCCAGGTGGCAGATCGTCCAGGAAGATGTCGGGGTACCGTCGAATTAGCTCCGCTAAATCCGGAGGAACAGCTGCACACAGCTTTTCGATGTCCTTTCCGTCGGTGTCGACTGCCAACTCGCGCAAGCAGACGGCGAACAGCTGCGCACCCCTGTTGAAGTGGTGGGCGATGGTGATGGCTTTGACGCACGGGGCTTGTATGTAGTCAGGTGTCCATGCAGGCAACTTAATTAGCCCCTCGTGCTTGCTGACGCAGCACGATCCCGTTGTCCAGTCGATGACGGGGTTGTGTCGTCGCAGCCAATCGCGTCCCAGCAGCACGTCGCAGCCATCCAGCGTCGTCGCGAGGAACTTCATGCTGAAGCCGAAATCTTCGCCGCACTCGATCCGCACCGTCCGTGTTTCTTCCGTTATCGCCAGAGGCGTCCCATCCACGAGTCGTGCGTCGATTTCGGGCAGACACCTGTCAAGTTGCATGTTGCATTTTTTTGCGCTCGCCAAGTTGAAGAGGCTATGGCTGGCCCCTCCATCGACGAACATTTTCAAATGATGTTTCCCCACCTTGCCAGCGACCAGCACAGGGTGATCCACATGATTATCCCCGTTATTCGGCCGAGTGCGATCGATTGCATGAATCGGAACCACGACTCGGTGGGGATGGTGGTGTTCGGGCGACGGAGCACAGTCAGTAAAGGGCCCGCTACTTACTGACTCTTCCCATTTCCCTGCTCCTTCCTGTCGTTCTCTGTCAGCGGCATTTTCTCCTTGCATTCGTTCTTCCAGTGACCCACCTTCCCACACCGGAAACACTGACCCTTAGGAGGGCGGTCGGGTGTATGGACGGCGTTGATTGTGGCCCGATGGGTCTGGCCACGAAAACCTCTCCCATCCCTGGAAGCCGTTCTCGCGTACTGCATCAGCGCATCCGTTGACTCTGCCACGCGTACTGCTTCGAGGAACGATGTCGGGCGGCTGCGGCGAACTTCGAACTGTATCTCGTACTTAAGGCCGCTCACGTATTTATCCAACCGCTCAGCTTCCGACATGTCATCGATTTGGTCGGCGAAGCCCATAAATGACGCCGTGTAGTCTTGGACAGATCCCATCTGCGACCATGCACGCAGCTTCATGCGAGCTTGCTCCGAGGCGGATACGTGCTCGAAGCGATCCCGTAAGGCTGCGCCCCACTCCTTCCATGTGCGTATCTTGGTCACACCGAAGATCGGTTCTGCCACTTGATGAACCACTGTAGAGGTCCCGTCTGCCGCATGTGTCACACCTGTCGACGTCCCTGTTTCCAAGGTCCGGCGCCACCATTCAAGTGCTGCACCTCGAAGAAGCGAGACTGCGTAATTAATGCGCGTGGCATCGTCATTAACTCCGGCTGCAGTGAAGAAGACTTCAACCCCGAACAGCCACCCCTTCACTGTAGTCGTCTTGTCCGTAGGATTAAACGGGGGCGGGTTGACGGGCTTGATCTTGATCGTCGTAACTGCAACTGGCGCTGCCGCCGCTCGCTGCCTATCTTCTTCTTCGAAGTCGCGTGTGAGCTCGTCCAGAGGATTGCCCATCACTTGACTGTTGCCCTCGCCTTCGTCCACAGGCGACGTCTGACGCGCTTCACCTCGCGTCCGGCGTAGCTCGGCGTTTTCCTCCTTCAGTGTTGTCACTTCCGCTTGCAGCGATTCCATGCCCCTCGCCATTTCTGCCACTTGCGCCATCAGTCGGTTAACAGCCTCCTGATCCATGTTTCTAGCACTACGTCTGGTGGGCAGTTGGGTACCCGTGGCCGCCCGGCAAGTGAAAACACGAACTATCGGAGTCGGGCAGGGTTGAGTTAACAACCTCTGCAGCCAACCGTCGTGTAGTCACTAAACCAACCACACCCTATGCCACCAAACTACCCTTGAAAAGCGGGGTGAACTAGGAAAGTAGCTCTGATACCAGGTGTTATGAGTTGTAAAAGAGAGTGCGCAGGTAAACGAATAACGAGACTGTGACTGAATGAATCTGAGAATACAATGAATGCGAGAACTAATGTAGGCTAGCCTAGCTAGGAGGAAACCTCGGACAAGCGAGGTTGGGTGCAGGTTTGGCGATGGGAATGCCGAAGGCGACGCGAGGAGCTTCGGCAGCGTGGAAATCGCCCGATCGTGCGAACTCCGAAAATCGGGTTGTACGCGCAGCAGTCAACCCCGATAAGGAATTCGAGAAAATTCCTTACAGACCGTGTCCAATAACCACTGTCACCTCCTGGCATCGTGTTCTTGGCAGTTTGCGCCTGCATAATTCTGGCTTGCTAATTCGCTCAGCTTATGAACTGGATTTTCCCATTCGAAATTTGCCTTGAGAAGATAACGCATTGTTATAAACGCGAACAAAGGCACTAGGCTAGTGGGTTGGTGGGCGTGGGTCCTAGGCGCTCGCATTCCTCGCTCCCTTCCGTCCAACAAATCAGGTCACAGGCGGTCAACGGCGCTATGGTCGGCTTTCGATAGGGTCAAGAAGTTCCAGAAGCCACGCCGGACCCTCACACTTTCCGAGTTGGAGATCTGACGTGGGGCGTTTTGGTCCTTCTCTCACTTCCTTGACGACATGAATGGTACCCAAAGGTCCACGCGGCTGAGCATACGTCACAAAAGTGCAAGAAACTGTTTCAGTCTATCCAGCGTGGCATTCCAGTTGGGCAGCCACGTCTCACAATGAATGTCTGTTGTGTTTCAGGGCTTGAGCCTGGCGTATCGCCCTGCTGGAATTCGAATTCGCGGCCCGGTAGGCGTTGTAAATTTCCCCCTTCGTGCTACTCTCCCATCAATCCCAACTCCACTCCCGCTGCTCTCACGGATCTTTGAAGCTATCACGGTTCAAACGCTAAGATCCGAATTCTTCTTCCAGCAGCGTATCGCTATGGCTTCCTCCCTCGTCGCACTCCAGTCGCTTTCGGCTCTCTCCTTCAGCTCAGCCGTCAAAGGCGCTTCACTCTCAGCCCATCGCCTAGCAGCCGCTTCCGCCGTCGCTCCCTGCAGGCAAGGTGTCATCGCCCTCCTCGGCTTCAACAAATCCGCCGTCCCCGCTAAGACCATCCCCGTTAAGAAGCAACTCAGAACCGAGGATGGTATCTTCGGCACATCTGGCGGCTTCGGCTTCACGAAAGCCAACGAGCTCTTCGTCGGCCGCGTGGCGATGCTCGGATTCGCTGCATCTCTCCTCGGCGAAGCCGTTACGGGGCAAGGAATCCTCTCGCAACTCAACCTCGAAACCGGAATCCCCATCACCGAAGCCGAGCCGCTGCTCCTCTTCTTCATCGCATTCACCGTGCTCGGCGCGATCGGCGGGCTGGGCGACCGCGGGCGATTCGTTGACGACGAGCCTGCTGGTCCGCCCGTGAAACCCGGCAGTTTCAAGGCCGCGCTTGGACTGAGCGAGGACGGGCCGTTGTTCGGGTTTACCAAGGCGAACGAGCTTTTCGTGGGGCGCATGGCTCAATTAGGGTTCGCGGCGAGCTTGATCGGCGAGGTGGTTACCGGGAAAGGTGCTCTGGCGCAGCTGAATATCGAGACTGGTCTGCCGATTTGGGAGTTGGAGCCGCTGCTACTGGCGAGCATCGCGTTCTTCTTTGTCGCGGCTATTAACCCTGGTACAGGGAAGTTCATCAATGATGACGAGTAGGGTTATGGCTGTTTATAGCATACGGTATTGTAAACTCTTGTTCATTCCCTGTACACATGAGGATTTATAAGATATGTCTCAGACATTCACTACCCAGCTGTGATCATGAGATTCCTGTTTCTGAGTATTGTAAAGGCTTGTGCATGGATGTGCACACGACTGATCCAGTGATCGTGAGTACTTTTCTATTGATGCAAGAAACCTGCACTTTGCTGCTAGTTGTAACATCATTACTATCGCTTTACGCCCGTTTACACGATAAATCCTTGCCAAAAGGTACAATAGCAAATAGCAAATAGTTATCACTAATATTTCAGTACAAGTTGGCTAGCCATGGATACTCTTCCTGTGTAATGCTGGATTTCAGCCTGTTGTGGGCATAGCAAGGTTCAGTTGACATGGGGAGAAAGCCCAAGGATCAAACAGGAAGTGAATGGATGAATGGACAGTAAAACGGGCAGAGATGGATGGAGGAGAGAGGATACTTGAGAGATGCACAAAGAATCCCACCCAAGAACGCCGAGCAGCATAGAGCAGCTGGGCTCAGAGCAGCTGGGCTCAGAGCAGCTGAGCACTCTCTACTCTAATACACCCTGTAACGAAAACACCCATTCCTGATACACCCTCCTCAGGTCTCACCTTGCGCACCACCATAACAGCCTACACCATGGCCTCCCCCAGTGCTGCTCGCATGACAGAATCCGCTTCAAAGGCCCCCAGTGACTCCTCCAGGAACTGCATCCGACAAGGTAAACCAGGGCCTCCATGCCCTCAATCACCCTTCCTTGAAACACCCTCCCCAGTTCTCACCTTGTGCACAGCCACAACAGCCTGCACCATGGCCTCCCCCAGTGCCGACCGCATGACAGCATCCACTCCAAAACGCACCCCACAATTCCTCCAGGAACGGTGGATCGGGACAGCTTGCCCTGACACACCCTCCCCACCCTCCCCACGTCTCACCTTACGCACGGCCACAATCGCCTGCACCATGGCCTCCCCCAGTGCCGCGCGCATGACAGCGTCCGCCTCAAAGGCTGCTAGTGAGTCCTCCAGGCATGCGGGCAGGCGGGGAGGGGCATCGTGCGGCGGTAGGTCAGCTGGGTTGACGTCTGGAGGGGTGGAGAGGGATGGCAGAGGTGGTAAGCGGTAGAGGAGGAGAAATAAAGGGGTTGATCACTCTTCCAGGGATGTGGGCAGGCGAGGGTTGCAGATTCGGATAGAAGGTCAGCTGGGTTCATGTCTGAAGGGGTGCATGGGAATGGCAGGGGTCGTAACAGGTGGGGATGAGGGACTGCGAATAATTCACTTGTTCAGACACTCGGGAACGAGGGACGAGGGGGGATGTGGGCCACAGAGCGATGAAACAGTAGGAGGCTATGACTAGTACCAGATGCAGCTGCACATGCATGTCATGCATCACATTTATAATATGCATTGCATACATTCACGGTATGCACATGCATCACACGCAGCACATGCATCACACGCAGCACATGCATCACACGCAGCACATGCATCACATGCATCACATGCATCACACGCAGCACATGCATCACATGCATCACATGCATCACATGCATCACATGCATCACATGCATCAGATTGTCACATACCCATGGAATAATACTCCCCCCCTTACCCCTTCCCATACCCTTTCCCCACACACCAACCGCCATGGATAGTTACCAACAGGTGCCGGCAGCTGCAGGTTCTTCTCCAGCCCATCCATGCCAGCAGCAATGATGGCCGCCAGCACCAGGTGCAACAGGGCACACGGATCACACGGCCCCAACTCCACATACCCAACGTATTTACACACATACAACAGCACACTCATGGGCAGTGGGCACGTACCAACAGGTGCTGGCAGCTGCATCTTCTTGTCAAGCCCATCCATGCCGGCAGCAATGATGGCCGCCAGCACCAGGTGCGGCTGCGCACACGCGTCACACGCCTTCACCTCGAAGTTGGTCTCTTGGAACGCTGCTGGCACGCGTGCAGCAGCACCCGTGCTGCTAGCGGTATTGGTGGGAGGAGCAGCCACCCTTACTGCCGCCTCGCGGTTCTCATGCCCCCAGCACTGGTAGGCACCCGTCCACTTGTTGGGGCCCAGGCGCTCGTAGCTGTGATGCGCGCAACACATAGCCCACACGGAGGGAAACAAGAGAGAGGTGTGGGGATAGGAGGTGAGAAACTAGGACATATAAGGAATAAGCTCATGGCAGAAGCCTCGCGGTTCTCATGCCCCCAGCACTGGTAGGCACCCGTCCACTTGTTGGGGCCCAGGCGCTCGTAGCTGTGAGCACCAAAACATTCAGAATTCAAAGAGCAAGGGAGGAGAGGGGGTGTGGGAATGAGGCGTTGAAGGGAGAGCAACTGACAATTTACCGGCGGAATAAAGGGCAGGGATGTGGGGATGAGAGGCGATGAGAGGGGGGAGTAGAAAGAGGGTTCTGCTTTTGAAGCGCGAGAAAAAGATGGAATTGAAGGATATGAGAGGAAAGTGTACCTGTTGGGCAGGGGGCAGGAGATAGCCATGATGGACGGCAGGTGCGCCATCACGCCGGCCATGAACTGCTGCCCTTCCTCTGACATGCCCTGCTGCCCCCCCTGCTGCTCTTGCTGCTCTGTACCTGTTGGGCAGAGGCCATGAGAGGAGCCCGTACCTGTTGGGCAGAGGACACGAGATGGCCATGATGGACGGCAGGTGCGCCATCACCCCGGCCATGAACTGCTGCCCCTCCTCCGACATGCCGTGCTGCCCCCCCTGCTGCCCCCCCTGCTGCCCTCCCTGCTGCTCTGCCTTCCGGCCTTCTCCCGCTTGCCCCGTTGCAGCAAAGGCGTTGATGTACGTGCGCCCACCCTCTGTTATCATGATAGGTGCATCCCCCGAGGTTGTTGCTGCTGCTGCTGATGACGCGTCAGTCCCGCCAGTGACCTCCCTCCATATGCTGACGTGGACGTGGCTGCCATTGGCTGCGTCGCGAGGGAAGACTCTGAGGGAGGGCGAGATGGGGAATGGAGAGAGAACGGGTCAGTGGAGAGATGACGGCATCTCTTGTTCCCTTGTTAACAAGGGACAGGCGTGAATGTTCCAACTCAAGGTGCTGAAGTGAGTGGAGCAAGCACCCACCAACCAGTGTAGCATTGTGAGTGGAAGATTGCACGAGGAGTAATGTACCAGGGGGATTGTAAGAGGAGTGTGCTGCGAACGAATCAAGAGGAGGATTGTGAGCAGGCAATGGCAAGAGAGTGTGCGGGAACTGACTGTGGAAGGAAGGTGACGTGAGTAGGTGTGCTGCTGCGCTTGCTGCTGGCACGGTCCACCTCCCCACTTTCTGCTGCTGCTGCTGCTCTTGCCACCACCCCAGAGATTGCCTCCCGGACCAGCAGGATCCTATCAGCTGCTGCCACGTCAGCCGCATGCCCGACTGCTATCTCAAACTGCCCACCGCCTGATTCCGGGTGAAGCTGCAAAAAGGAGAAGAAGTGTGAGAGTGACGGACTGAAGGAATGAGGCTGGTGGGAGGGTGCGGAAAACAGAGGCTAACCTATATACTCCGGTATAAGGCACCCACGGTCGGCTAGGCTATACCGTTGGTACCCATGCTCGCCCCATGCGACGTGACTACAGCACTCACTCGCCTGCTCCTCTCCCCCACGCACGCCATAGCCCATGTGAATGAGCATATTCTAACGCCCCAACTCTGTTTGCAGTAAACCATGCCACCATGCTCCCACACATGATGCTATGTGCCCTCACTTCCTCCCTCCCACATGCTCTTCTGGCATTCTCATGCTGTCAAGAGCCGCAATCACGACCACATTCGCCATACCCCATTTCACATCCCACAGATTAAGTAACACGCCCACACTCCAACATGCCCACGTCACCTCTCACCTGCTCCACGGGTATGCACATGGCATGCAGAGCGGCCACCATGGCACCCATCAGCTCCATCACACATGCATGCAGGGTGCATACTACCATGCTTGCACACATGACGCTGCATTACGACATCCCCCCACCTGCTCCACGGGTATGCACATGCCATGCAGAGCCACCACCATGCCTCCCATCAATTGCGTGACACATACATACATGCATAACACCATGCTTGCACACATGATGCTGCATGCCCACAAACCCCCCCCCCCACCTGCTCCACAGGTATGCCCATGCCGTGCAGAGCAGCCACCATGGCGCACATGAACTCTGCCTGCTCGTCAAACATACCCCCATGCCTCCAGTCATGATGCCATGTGCTCACACTCCTTCCCACCCGCCCCCCACCTGCTCCACCATCAGCTCCCTTCCGTGCCACAAATTTACATGCCCACAACTCCTCTCTTCCCTCCCCCACCCCACCTGCTCCGCGGGGATGCCCATGCCATCCAGAGCAGCCACAATGGCGCCCATCAACTCCATGAAACATACATATTGCCATGCTCGCACAAATTATGCTGCATGCCCACACTGCCCCCCACCTGCTCCACGGGGATGCCCATGCTGTGCAGAGCAGCCACCATGGCGCCCATCAGCTCTGCCTGCTCGTCAAACGCCAGCGCAGAGCAGTAGAGCGTGCGGTCCACAGGGGTCATGCTGAAGAAGAATGGTGGGGGGAGGAGGGGTTATATTTGTTCTGAGACGAATCTAAACGCCAGCGCGGAGCAGTAGAGCGTGCGGTCCACGGGAGTCATGCTGCGGATGAAGGGGGGTGGGGCGGTGGGGGGTGGGGCGGTGGGGGTATTGAGACAAACGCCAGGGCGGAGCATTAGAGCGTGCGGTCCACAGGGGTCATGCTGGGTGGAGGAGGGTGGGGGATGGAGGGCGGCAGCGGAGAGTAGGCTTGCTTTGAAGCGCCTCAAAACGAGGCGTCTCAGAACGCAGGCGACTCAAAACGAGGCGTCTCAGAACGCAGGCGCCTCAAAAGCCACCATGGCGGCCATCAGCTCCGTCTGCTCGTCAAACGCCAGCAGTACAGCGTGCGGCGCACAGGGGTCTTGCTGGGTGCAGAGCGCGGGTGAGGAAGTGAGGTGAGGGGTGGTGGAGCAGGAACGGCATGGAGAAGAGGCATGGAGAGGCAGAGGGGAGGTATGATGGGACGTACGATGGGCTCATCGAGTGGAGAAGAGTGAACTCGCTCTCGAACCCAGCCCTCAGCACCTGCACACACACACACACACACACACACACACGCACACACACGCACACACACGCACACACACACACACACGCACACGCACACGCACACGCACACACACCCACGCGCACGCGCACGCGCACGCGCACGCGCACGCGCACGCGCACGCACACGCACACCCACACACACACACACACACACACACAGACACACACACACACAAAAGTGCAAATGCAACATTCTTCTACCCTTTCAAAGGCCATACAGGAAGGCCCTCACCACTTCCATGCGTCCACACTGTGCTTGAGAAATCAATCCCTGTGTTCAGGTTCAAAAGTGGTGGCGGTAATGTTGGTCATGGTAGACTATACTCCAATCGAGACACCTTGATGGCATACCTGTTTCTCCAGCTACAAGGGTACTTGTGTACTGTCTGGTACAAAACACCTGGATTACAAGGCAGAAAACTCCCTTCCTTTTTTTTTTTTGTGCATGTACCGCGTTTGTTCTATTCTCCTCAAATTCCTGCCCTTCACTCACCAGGCCGAACCTGTCCTTGAGCGAGGCTGCTACTCTCCTCAGCGTGCTGCGCGGACAGACAGCAAACGGCTGACCTGGCGCCACGTGTGCATCCACCAACGCGAGCATCTGACTGGGACACCTGGCGAGGGGGGGGAGGCGGTGATAGAGTGGAAACGATGAGGTAGGTGGAGGAGGGGTGACAGCACGAGATGGTGTGACTGTTGATATATGATAGAGTTACCATCCATGATGTGAAAAGGCAGGGCCGGCAGGGTGATGCCAAGAGTGCTGCTGCATGTGCGGTTGCATGGTGAGGCACTTATTAGTGCTCTACTCACCACGGGAGGGTCCTGAGGGTGCTGACGTCAGGCATGAGTCGCACCTCCCCCACGGCGGACAGGCCACTCCCGGGGGCGGGTCCATCCACGAACGACGCGAACGCGTAGATGCAGCGCGCCAGGCCTATCCCCTGCTGACACGTCAGCGTGCGGAACCGGTCCCAGGGAACCACCTGATTGGCGGAGATCGCAAGGGGGGTTTGTTAAGAGGAAATCAGGAGGGCGGAAAAGGGCGGGAAAGACGTGACTTCTCGTGTTCGCGAAAACCACTCATTGTGGCGTCGCAAAGCTCACGGAGGCTTGTTTCATAATTGTGGAAAGTCAGCATATGAGAAGAAAGGGTCCTCCGTTGCATTCGCATTTCGAATGCCTTAGCGATTGTGGCATTGCGCATCAGCGCTTGGCAAAAAACGAGCATGCGAGCCAGCCGCAGCAGGCCCTTCACTTGGAGAGAATCCACGCGAGCGGGACTAACGGAATGCGATTCAACGCACCCGCACGCGGCGCTGGCCCGACAGGTCCGCGAAGAGTAGGCGCACGAGCGCGCTGCTGGGACCTTGCACGACCGGCGGAGGGGACACGGGGAGCGCGGCGAGCGGTTGGGGAACGTCGCTCTCCTCCTGCTGCTGCTGCTGGTTGCTAGTCAGCTGGGCCATGGCGGAAACTTTCGTGCTCTTGCCGCGTCTAACGGGAACTCAACTGCTATGGTGTTAGTACGAACTCGCAGGGAACGCGAGGTATATCTCTATGCTGTGGAACGAAAGAGATGCTGGAATATATACACAGACGGTTTTCAATGTAAGCACGCTTTCGTTGGACGGTATGCCCTGCAGCGATTGGCGATGTTACTGGGGAGCACGCGAAGGGAAACAGGAGGAAAGTCGCGGAATAGCTGCGGTTTGGTGTAGGCAATCAGGCCGGCGGTAAGTCTGGAGCAAGGAAGCTGGAGCCAGCGAGAGGCGTCCCCGAGAGGAAAGAAAAGCCGTTGGCTATGATATGAGCTCCACACAAAGATTCTCGCATTTTCTGCTGCAGGCAGGCACGGTTGGAGGGAGGAATGGGTGTCAGGAGGTAGGCAACGCTGATTGGAAGGCTATTGTCGAGAAAATCGGCAGCGCCGCTGCGGAGCAGCTTTGGGAATTGCGGCATGGGTCTGGGTGAATTGAGAGGAGGGTGACATTGCTGAACTGACAAAAAACGCGATTGGGGAACACTCGTTAGCCGCGGAGTGTTTCCGTTAGCGAATCTATTTGAAAAGGCCTCCTATCTATAAGAGAACAATGAAGGGAAGAAAGCATCATACTAAAACAGCCATACATTGGCAAGCCTACAAGCCCAGCTGCAACTACATCCCACTGCCAGAAACGCCGAGGTATTGGCCAATGATCCCTCGCACCTGTGGTAAACATACATGGCATGAACCAATAACACCATTAGATCTCCAAGCACCACTCATAACAACTTATTCTCAATGGAACATCCATTCTGATCACACACAGAAACACTCTCACAAACAAGACCCACATACAATCCTCGATATGGTTATAACTCACCTGCCAGTATTTGGAAACACATCTGTCAACACAGCTAGTCTCTCCAAGATTCAATTCCGACTCTTTGTACCTGAATGGGATGGCATAGACGGGAGGACACAGGTGAACGATGCATACATTCTCATTATGGGTAACTCTGTTGGTCAGAGCTTGCTGTGATGTACCGTACAGATGTAACTAACTTTTGGACAATATCGGTTTATAAAGAATGGCAAAAAAGTCAAGTTCCACTACTTACTTCTTCTCGTAGCACTTGTCAAAACACGTCGCCACCATGCTGTCATAGCATCGAAAAAAAAGGTTGATTGGGAAGGAGAAAACGGGCCAGGAACGCAAACGTAGTTGAAAAGGGAAGTGGAAAACTGATGCTTGCAAAAGATGGACACGCACAAACAGAGCACGCTGAGCTGCCACATGCAAGCAACCAGGTGCGGAAAAGGGGAGAGAAGAGCACAGTGGAGTGAGGGAGAAGGTATGAGGCTGCAAGGTAAAGAGGGAGATGGAGAGGAACGGATAGGAAAGAGTTGACGGGAAAGGAAAGCGGGAGGGAAAGGTGAGGAAAGAGGGAGGAAAATTGGAGGGAAGGAGGGGATGGTGATGGAAGGGAAAAGGAAAGTGATGGCTGGGGGAGTATGGGCATGAAGGTGAGGTTCGAAAAGTGGAAACTCACGCATTGAATAGGCTCACTCGGTACTCCATTTGTTGAGCTGCCATCTCATAGATCTGTACGTGAATCAGGGAAACAGTAACGCAGCAATATACAAACGAGGATCGCGAATGTCGATGGCACAAAACGAGACTTAAATCCCATGGCATCAAGATTAATTAATCCGCAGGCGAATCGCTGCCTGCTAATACAGCGTTCAAGGCGACTATTCACTACTGACGTGACGAGTCGCATACAACCTAACGATTCCCGTGCAGCGGTATGAATCTGGTTCTCCATTCAGTAGCAACAAACCGTCATCGTCCCTGAAGCTCGTGAAACATAATAGCTCCTGAACTCAGCTAAACAAGCACGTAATCGGGCTTGAGACAGGAGAGAACTCTCTGTGGACGATCATGTGCCTGGAGGCCTCGCGAGGAACCCAGATGCGACGCCGACCTACTCAAGAAAGAATGAAGATGACAGGATCACGACAGAGAGACGGCACACCTCGTCTTTGTCGATGCCATCAGGCAACCCCTGAGGAGCCGCAGCCTTGCCCGCCATGCCACCGATCTCACAAGGGCAACACCTAGCCGCTGTGCCTTGCTGTGCCAACAGCAGATGCTCAAGCGGGTGAACCAAGGGCCTCCACGACAGACGGAACTGGCGGCTCGTGCAACTGGGAGAGAATTCAGATACCGTTGCTGAAGGTGGAGAGACTAGCCCAGAGCAAGCGACAGCCAGTTCCAGGCCCAAGGCAAGCGACATTTGTAGTGAGGGCGCGGTAAAGTAGACGATCTACCGTCAGTCACGATTGATGTGCGAATTTGTTACCCCTTTAACTACTGTGTAACCATGCACAGTAACTGTGCATGGTTACACTAATTCCTTACTGCGGCATCTCTTACGCGTACAATTCCAACTTTCGGAATTCAGGCTCGGTCCGTCGACCTCGCCTTCCGAACGTCCCCCGCGTCGCCTTCGGGTTTCCCAACCCCAAACCTGCACCCAACCTTTGCGCTACTCCGCGACCTCGGCCTAGCTAGCTTTGCTATATTATGCCTAGGCCTCGTTGTTTACTCAGTTGTTGTAATCACTTCCGCGATATTGCATTCTGCGCACTCTTCATTCGTACAACTCATAACACTTGGTATCAGAGCTACTTTCCTAGGTTACCCACCACTTTCCGGGATAGTTTAGTGCAGGGGTGCGATAGACTTGGTGGGCTGCAAAGCGGTCGGCTGAGAGATAGATACGATTATCTCGCTCCGACTAATAGCGTTTGCGCCTTCATCAAAGTCATAAAAATCGCTGTTAACCCGCTGCCCGCTAGGATGAGTATCCGAAATATGACGCTGGCGGAATTCGACGCCTTCATGCAGGACTTTCGGGCGATGCAATCCAACATGCTATCCATGAACGGCGAGTTGGAGCGCCTGAGGGTGGAAAACGCCGAGCTACGCCAGACGCGAGGTGAAGCGCGTCAGGAGTCGCCTGTCGTCGATGAAGCAAGTAGCAGCTCCTCACTCAACGAAAACGTGTTCAACGAGCTGGATGCCGAACAAGACGCTGAGGACGAGTGGGCAGCACGGCAGCAACAAGCACGGGAAGCGCCACGGCAGCAACAACATGAACAACCAACGCGGAGGCAACAGTCGCCGTCACTGCCACGACAGGCACCAGCGACAACTCCGGCGATGGCCTCGGTGCCCCCGATGCATGCAGCACAAACAGTTTCGACAACTGTCAAGATAAAACCGACGAACCCGCCCCCGTTCATCCCGACCGACAAGGTAGTCACAGTGTCTGCATGGCTGTTCGGCGTGGAGGTGTTCTTTAATGCTGCGCAAATTGCTGAAGATGCCACCCGTATTAATTTTGCAGTGTCACTGTTGCGGGGACCAGCGTTGGAGTGGTGGAGGCGAACCCTTCAGACAGAGGGGACTCCGGCAGGGCTGTCACGTGCGAACGACGGGACCTGGACAACTGTCACGCAAGGAGCAACTTCAATCTTCGGAGTGGCCACGATACGCACATGGACGGAGTGGGGCGCCGCGCTGCGCATGAACTTCTATCAGGATTATGTTCTTATAACTACATGTAGTTCTAGCGTTAGTGTAGTTATCATAGTTTCCTGCTTGGTGGTGTACCCCCTTTCATACCCTATATCTTGTATCCATGCTATACTGAACCCCCCTTCTTCTCGTCACTCATCCGTCTCGCTACTTTCCTAGGCTCTTAGCCTAGCCTGCTATCTTGACATGGTACAGATCAGGTAATGCTCCTAAGGACCTGTTTTTTTTTTTTTTTTTTTTTTTTTTTTTTTCACACATGGCTGTCGCAGCACCCGCGAAGGCGCTTTTGCACCAGCCCGTCCCGTACCATCGCGTCCCACGTGCCCTGCCCGTCCGTCGCTCGCCCGCTGTGCCCTGCCCGTCCGTCACGCCCTGCCCGTCCGTCGCGCCCCCGCTGCGCCCAGTCCGCGCCGTCCCGTCTCTTCGCGCGTCGCCAGCACCTACGCGGGCGCCTGCGACGACGCCAGCGCGGACGCCAGCGAACAGCGCTAGCACACGAGCGCCACCGCCGGCACCCGCGACCAGCGACCGGCGCCCACCGCGGACGCCAGCGACAAGCGTCTGCACAGGCGCCTGCGACCAGCGCCCGCCGCGAGCGCCAGCGCCAGCGCAGACGCCAGCGCCATCAGCTCCGTACGCCGCACCCCCCTTCCCTTCCGCAGCTTCCGCCGGGGGTGGGGGGGAGATGTGGGGGTGGCGGGTGTGACCAGTCAGCAGCCATTCCCTCCCCTCTCTCTTCCTCTCTCCTTGCAGCACTTGGTGCTGTGGGGGGGGGGGGCGGGGGGGGGAGAGAAGTTGAGGGGGGATGAGAGTAACCTGTTTTGTTTCTCTCTCGTTCTTCTCCCTCTCTCTTCCGCTGCATCACTTCTCGCTACTCCTCCTCGTATCCGTCGTATCTGGGCGCCTCCCTCGTGGAAACAGCAGCCACGCATCTGTAGCTGCCACCCACTGCTAACGTGGCACCTTTAGCTGCAGCCCCTGTCACCACCTTTCGTCTTTCGTCTTTCATCTGCTGCTTTTGGAGCAGGTGCTGCCGTTGAGCCTGCTGTGCCGCCGCACGCCGCTCTCCGGGCTACCTGAACGGCATGCATGCCCCCCCTTTCGTCGTTCGTCTTTCGTCTTGGCTAAGGGATTTTTGCAGCTGTATCTACTACTGTTGCACCAGGTTGCCACTGCTTTTGCGTGCTGCTGCTTTGTGTACCCCTGCAGGTTGTGATTTGCACTTTGCTATTCCTGCATGCAGTTAAGGGGGGATGTCAGGATTATGTTGTTATAACTGTCTGTAGTTCTAGCGTTAGTGTAGTTATCATAGTTTCCTGCTTGGTGGTGTACCCCCTTTCCTACCCTATATCTTGTACCCATGCTATACTGAAACCCCCTTCTTCTCGTCACTCATCCATCTCACAACTTTCCTAGGCTCTTAGCCTAGCCTACTATCTTGACAACTTCCCCCAAATTTGCAAAAGACACGCGCCCTTAGTTGTGGAATGGAACGGGAGAAAGAGGTTTGCAGAAATGTGTGAGCGAGCAGTGAAGCCTTGGAGCATAATGACTACAAAAACTTTCAAAACGACAATAAGGAAAATTTCCTTTTATTTACTCGAGCTTATTACGTTGCATACAACCCCCGATCTCGGAAGTACAAGTTCGATGTTACGGGTGGAATGGATCGAGGGTAGCAGGAATTGGATGAAGGTGTCAAAAGGGTACAAAGTATGGGCGAAGGCATGAGCGAGTACTTATACAAGAACATGCAAACGGTTACGCGACGCGAACGAGCTAGCCAGTGCGATGATGGCATCGAGGTTCGGGCTAGTCCCAAGGCGTAGGCCAACACAGCTGGGCCAGCGGTGCATGGTTTCGTAAATTGTGCGCGCAAAGATTGGCGAAGCTCCGTTAACAGTAACAGACGAACAACGGATGTTGTTGAAGAACGGGATAAGGGCTTGTTCAAGCAGCCGGTCAGTGCGCCCATAACCCCCAAGCTATCATGCCTGTAACGCTCCCTAGTATCAGTCGGGGATCCCCAGTGTCGGTCTTCTAACACGCCCCGATAGCTAGCTCTCAGAAGACGTGCACTAGGGATCCCTGACTGATTCTAGGGAAGATGTGCAAAGCCTGGGGAGTTATGGCTACACACACCCTCTACACAAACAAGCCCTATTGTCCCAGTGGTGTAGTGTTGGGTTTCTGATACTAGCAGCGTGCCCTGTCAGCCAGCCCGCACCCCACTAGTAGCGTGCCCCGCAACACCCTGCCCGTGTTCGTCATTTCGCACCATTCCCTCCGCCAGCAGCACTCCCAGCAGTTGCTGGAAGCTGCAATACCTTCTGCAGGCACCGTTTAGGGTTTCTGCTTCGTACCTAGTTCGTTGTTCCTAGCCTGCGGTTCCTACTTGGCCTTGTAGTTCCTATCCAACCGTTTCCATATATCGTTTATGGCCAAACGTTCCTCGCTAGCCGTTCCTAGTTTACCGTTCCTAGCCAGCTACTCAGCTCCAATTGTTCCTAGGCTGTTGTTCCTAGCCTCCTGTTCTTCGCCAGTTGCTGCTAGCCACCAGCCGTCCCCAGCCAGCCATCCCTAGCCTATCGTTCCTAGCTTGTTTCCTACACCATGGCGTTGACTGGAATTTTGCATTTGTCGAGCAAAAGATTTTGGCACCTGGCTATTGCACGCCAAGCTGTACTTTCAAAGCCGGTGCTAGGACAGTTGCATATTGCACACTCACATGTCAGCTAATTTGACTACTCCTCCGCATCCCACCTTGCTGCTTACTGAGCGGACTGACGCGAACCGGGAGACTTTTCCCAAGCACCGCTCGGAGGACTAATTGTGGGAGTCTTGCTACAGCTGCTCGCCTCGTTCTCAGTAATGTTCTCCCAAGTGCGTCCATTTCAACCAGGGTGTTGTCCTCACTGTTCCACTCCTTCCTCTGCATCCCTCCGATGCCTCCTCATGCCATTTTTCTTCCCAAACCTCGCTGCGTTTTACTATTATTAGGCAAACCACGACTTAGCAGTGAGGGCCAGTGTGGGGGAGCCGTTTTTTGGCCAAAGCGATCGCGATAGAGATCATCGAGGTGGCGAAAGCAACGCACAGCCGAGTGATCGAGCCGCCTGCAGACAGTGCTAGCAAGGGCCAGCGTCGCGGCGACGCGCCTTCAACTGTCGGGGCGCCACTGCGGCCGACGCTCCCTAGACCTCCAGGTCCTCATTGCTACTGAGCGGCCCACTCCTTAAACTGCTCGTACTACCAGCGGCTGCTCTTGTACCTGCTGTTGCTGTTGTTGCTGTTGTACCTGCTGCTATTGCGGCTGCTGCCGCTGCTACTACTACTGGTGCAGCAGCATCAAGAGAGGCAGTAAAAGTGGGGAATTGGGGCATTTTGCACCCCTCAAAGAGATGAGGGATTATTGCACCAGTAGAAAAGGCGATAAAGCGAAGATAAGGTCAATAGTGAGTTTAATGGGGTGCTTGGCAAGGAGAGCATCACGTGCAGACGAGAGGTGGCCAAGTAGATTAATTACAACGAAGTAGAGGGTGAGTAAGATAGGCGACTCTTAAGCTAGGCAAGGGTGTAGGTAGCACGATAGTTAGCGTCAAATGAACGCAGGTACCTGACTAGATCAGTACTAGTGGGAAACATAGACAGGTGTGGTAAGAGAGACTGCATAAGTAGGCGACCTAGGGTAATAGAGGAGGGAGTGGGATAGCAAGAAACAAAAGTTTGAGAGCAATGCTTCGCCGATGTGACCTGGCTAAAGTGAACACACTCAGCCGTCGAGAGGAGTCGATTGAGCGAGACAAGCAACAGGATAGCCGTGCGTTGTGCAATGAAGGTCTCCCGGTCCGCTGCACTGGGCGCAATAGGGCACGCGGCAGGGTACGCAGCAAGCGCGTAGCAGGGCGCGGCAGGCGCACATCAATGGCAGGTGCTTGGCAGCGGCAGTAGCACGACAACGACAGGTGGGCAGTAGCAGTAGGCGCGAGCGCGGGAGAGACAGGCGCGGTGACAGCAGGCAAGGGCGTTGCGGCATGCGTGGCAGCGATGCGCATCGGGGCCGTGGCGGGAGCACGGTTGGGCGCTACGATGGGGTGTGGAGGTGCGTGGCAGGGTGAGAAAATAGGGTGCGACAGGGCAGCAGCGGTAGGGCGCGGCTAGGCGCTACGACGGGGCGCGACGGACGCCACTAGATGGGTGAAACGGAAGGGGCGCGAGGGCGCGGTTAGGGGGCGCGCTATCGGGGCTCGTGGTGGCACTAGGGTTGGCTAGGGGGTAGGTGGGCGGAAGCGATGGACCTAACCTAGCGTGATATAGGGGGTTAGTAGTAGCCAAATGCCGTCTACAGCACAATCAACATAGCCTAACAATGTACACCTACAAGTGTACATTGACAAGAGTGAGATATTGCAAGGGGGGGGGGGGGGGGGGATAGAGAGAGAGAGAGAGAGAGAGAGAGAGAGAGAGAGAGAGAGAGAGAGAGAGAGAGAGAGAGAGAGAGAGAGAGAGGGGGGGGGAGAGGGAGAGGAGGAGGGGGAGGGAGAGGGAGAGGGAGAGGGAGAGGGAGAGGGAGAGGGTGAGGGACAGGGAGAGGGAGGGAGGGCGAGGGGAGGGAGGGCGAGGGCGAGGGCGAGGGCGAGGGCGAGGGCGAGGGCGAGGGCGAGGGCGAGGGCGAGGGCGAGGGCGAGGGCGAGGGCGAGGGCGAGGGCGAGGGCGAGGGCGAGGGCGAGGGCGAGGGCGAGGGCGAGGGCGAGGCGAGGGCGAGGGCGAGGGAGAGGGCGAGGGAGAGGGCGAGGGAGAGGGCGAGGGGAGGGCGAGGGAGAGGGCGAGGGAGAGGGCGAGGGAGAGGGCGAGGGAGAGGGCGAGGGAGAGGGCGAGGGAGGAGAGGGGAGGGAGGAGGGAGGGAGGGAGGGAGGGAGGGAGGGAGGGAGGGAGGGAGGGAGGGAGGGAGGGAGGGAGGGAGGGAGGGAGGGAGGGAGGGAGGGAGGGAGGGAGGGAGGGAGGGAGGGAGGGAGGAGGGAGGGAGGGAGGGAGGGAGGGAGGGAGGGAGGGAGGGAGGGAGGGAGGGAGGGAGGGAGGGAGGGAGGGAGGGAGGGAGGGAGGGAGGGAGGGAGGGAGGGAGGGAGGGAGGGAGGGAGGGAGGGAGGGAGGGAGGGAGGGAGGGAGGGAGGGAGGGAGGGAGGGAGGGAGGGAGGGAGGGAGGGAGGGAGGGAGGGAGGGAGGGAGGGAGGGAGGGAGGGAGGGAGGGAGGGAGGGAGGGAGGGAGGGAGGGAGGGAGGAGGGAGGGAGGGAGGGAGGGAGGGAGGGAGGGAGGGAGGGAGGGAGGGAGGGAGGGAGGGAGGGAGGGAGGGAGGGAGGGAGGGAGGGAGGGAGGGAGGGAGGAGAGGAGAGGGGAGGGAGAGGGAGGGAGGGAGGGAGAGGGAGGGAGGGAGGGAGGGAGGGAGGGAGAGGGAGAGGGAGAGAGGGAGGGAGTGGGGGAGCCAGATAGGGAGAGTGGGAGAGGAAGGGGGAGCGGATCAGTGAGATTGGGGGAGGGGGTTGGGCGGATCAGTGGAGATATGGTACTTGTTTATGATGCAGCTCACTGGTGAGACAGCATGCCCAGCCTCTTCCTCATGGTGGGTGCTGCTGCAATTGGTTTACCATAATCGTTTGGTTCACAACTTGGCTCAACAGTTTCCACCGACTAGTGCGTAGTGCAGATTTGACGCCTCTGGCTGCGTGCATGCTAGACATTGTAAGCTCAGTTTATTTCCAATATATAAGAAAACCTACGGGTGCCTTACAGGTGTTCCGATTAAGCAATGTGCACAGCACAGCACATGCAACTAATTAGATAACTAGAACGGCAAGCAGAAGCAGCAGCGTCAACATGAGAGGCTTCAGTGGGGAGAGAGCGTTCCCTGCAAAAACAAGACATTACGAGAAAGAGTCAGAAAAAAATCCCATAATGAGATCCCAAAGCGGCCGAGCAGCAGGGCAACGGGCTAAATTATAAAGACGTGAGCTTACCTGGGCTGTCAGGGTTGTTCCAGCCGATGGCTGCGGTGGGAGCCGTGTCAATGAGCGGGCCGGATCCAGGGAAAAGGACGACGGAAATGTCGTTGAGATCCGTGTCAGTCGTCGACTTGCTGTTGACCGTCTGGTTCTTGGCGTTCGCGACGAGCTTCTCCGTGCGAATGATGCGACCGTACGCGTACTGCGTTCCGTCGTACTTGGCGTCGGTGTCGTTTGCGAGACCCTTGGGAACTGACCTGTTGTTGGCGCCGTATGCGCCAGGCGGCATGCAGCTCATGAACTTGAAATACTCGGAGCTAAAGTTGAGGGGGTTCAGAGCATAGATTGTTGTGTTGAGCATGCTTTTCACGGAGTTGCCATTCGAGGCCTGTGGAGAAGGAACAAACACAAAGGAGTTATTGCAAACGATTTGTCGTTGGATGTGAGCATGTGCCTTACATTGGCTATCGTGCAGCTTAACATGCACAAAGCGAAGCATTACGTCAACACATTGTCGGTGACACACGCATCGATATGCTTCTTATAACACATAAGAAAAAATTACTCACGTTGACGATGGCGGTAGTAATGGGGGTGACGTTCACTGACAGCTGCTTCATGAGACGAATCAGCACGTTCTGCGCGCCGGACGACGCGCCATACAGCCTGCCGGTGGCACCACCGCTGTCCCTGACCGCCATAAGCGCCTCGAGAATGATGTCCGACGAGCCAGGGGGGTCCAGCGTCTTGTTGTAACCGCTCACAGCCGCTCCCCACGCCTGGTTAGTCGGGGAAAGGATGGTTGCTATGTTAACGTCATTGAACCCCTCCTTCTCTGAGACGAACTGGAGGAGCGCGGAGGTCATGGACGTTCCCTGGAGATCGCCGAGCGGTCTGGCGCGCATCTTGGAGAGCAGCATGGAGACCGACGCGCCATTGGCAACTGTCGCGAGGGACAGTACCAAGGCGGACAAGGCAAAGGCCAGGAAGAGCGGACGGCGAGACATGATGGGTGTGACTTTGAAATTAGGACAAGGTAATGCTGATCTGAGTTTTGTGAGCAATTTACAGTGGTCGATTGTGGCGGCGCGAGATCGGGACTCGGGCACGTTGTGAACGTAGTTGTGCCTCAAGGATATGTGCAGCGCGATTGGGATCAAAAGATCCCTCGCAGCGCAGCCGATCACCTCCCACACTCCTTGTGGCAAGAACTGCACGGTGAATCGTTTCCGAGAAACTGTTAATACCAGTATCGTGTATTCCATGGCCCATGGAATGGTTCAGTGATTAAATAAGCTTAAAGAGCACTTACATAAAAACAATTAGACAGCTTCGGAGAGAAATGCGACCTAGTTTCCTTTTTCGGTGGAAGCGCGAAATCGGCGGATATACATGCTGCTTCGGCGTAAATATTCCAAGCAATAAAAGATTCGCTTTCGAAACGCGAGGAATAAACATCCACGTGGCAACTGGTGATGGGGCTAAACCATCTCGTTGGCAGGCACATTCGTAAGATCCGTCTCAAGCTGACCTGATTGTGTTAGTTTGCTAAACCCGCAACCCTGGACGGTTTTCCCTTGAAATGATACGGAATGGAAAAGTGCATAGAATGTCATTCTTGTGTGCGCGTTATAGTGTGTCTCGCATTGCCGGAACAGAATATGTATATTCAGAGCCAATGAAAACACAGGTATCTTCTTCATACGGAAGATATACAGAATATGCTCTGATCTTATACAGCGAACCCCGACGCTAACGACTGTGCAATACAGTACCTCTGAACTGAATCCATGTTGGGATAAAACCCAGCATTGGTTTCACGCATGTATGGGTACTACTCTGCGGTCAACATGGACCTCAAATTTCTGGACTTCCATTCACATTACGGTACCTCATTTATACCCTTGATACAATATTTTCACATGTATCATGTGGTACCGTCATCGCCCGGATATAAGACATATATGTCTTATCTCGTACACTAGAAAAAATGCTTGGATCTTATAAATGGGGAGGTTTGGGTGTCTTTAAGTCTTATAAATGGAGCCATAACCGTTTAGAAGATACCCCCTCGTTATACAATTGCCCCTAATCCTTACACTAGCTTAGCTCGTACACACAAATAGGTGTCTTATAATGAGGCTAGCCTGTTTATAAGAGACACCCGTATAATAGACAACCCCTGTCTACTATTCAACACTGTCTTATATCCGGGTGATGACGGTACATTATTTGCAAAGAACCCCACCTGTAGTATGTAAGCCACTTGCAGCCTGAAGTATCGTAGGTTAAGGCCTTCTAGGACATCAAGGTAACCCATGACTTGATGTTCGCAGATCTTTCCAGCCAAGCTCAGCTTCCTGGAGTATGATCTTGGGGAGAGATACACTCCTGAAGGGATTCCAAGAGCTCCCTTCTCCTCCCTGCAGGATCAGCCCCTCTCAGCTGCGCAGTTGTTCCAAACACATTTGGCTCCCCTCCACCATCCACCCCCGTCTGAGCTACCTTCCGGTACATGCACGCCAGCTCGCTCTGGTATTGATCGTACACTATAGTAGCATTAGGCTTCTTCTTTTTAATGGCAAGCCAGTCATACCAATCCATGGCATACTGCCATATCTGCCTCTGAGGGAAGCGGTTCACATCATCACACCCAGGCAGCTCCCCATCAGGCAACGCATGACACACACCCTCATGCGAGTAGTAAGCTGCCACTTGGACGTACGCCTTGATGACACGTGGCGCGTTGTCGTTGTGCTTCGTGGCGACGCGGAACGGCTGCGTGTAGGGCAGATGCACGCCGACGCGTGGGATCGGCGTGTGATTGGTCCATTCCAAGGCCAAGTGCACCTCATCATGCGCATACGCCCACATGTAGTTCCCAATGGTCGTGTGGGCGATTTGGGTCCGCTCAAACTGGGGCCCATGCTTGGAGAACCACTTGAAAGCGGAGTCAAAGCTTCCCCCCTTGTCCTTGTGTATATTGGCCACGTGGCTCCTGAATCTTGGCAGAATGCTGGTCGGCATCAGAAATGGCAGCTGCACCATGAAATTGGCGAAGTACTTGTCTTTCCCAACGAAAAACTTGGTGGAGGGTAACCAGTGGTCCAGCTGTCGCTGCGCGCTGCCAATCACGTACGGCTTGCCATCTGTCAGGTTGAATAGTAGCCCAGGCGTCACTTTCATGTTGAAAATGACGTCATCATCTATTAAGGCCACGTAAGGGGCGGTTGTGTAGTTGTCAGCCCACATGTAGCTCCACTGTTGCAGGATCTTTCCAGGAAGCTTCAGAGGGTTATCCTCGTAGTACACCTTGATCCACGTGGGAATGAGGTCCTCAGCCAATCGCTCGTCGCCGTCGAGGATGAGGATGACGTCACCAATGCCACGTGGCCACATCTGCTCGATGCTGTCAAAGAGCATCTCGAGCAGGAAGAAACTGCTTGACACGTGGCTGCGGATTACAAGGTCCACGCGAGCAGGCCATAACGATCTGCCAATAGGGAGCAGCAGAAAGACAACGAAGTGGCTGAGAGACTTAGTGTGAGATGCAAAGGATTATTGACTAACTATGAGGAAAAACTGCCACACATATGAGATGCCACACATCTGAGATGCGCAAAGAAAGAAAGAAGGAAAAAAGATCACGAGAAAGCAAGACCAATGAGCTCCCTGCACGTACCAATACGCGTCATCGTAGAGGCTGAAGAGATCCGCCACGCAGTGACCCGTTCGCGAGCGCCGCCTGCACTCCCTCCCGCCGCTTCCGGCTCCACCAAGATCCGAGAAAACATCACCACTGTCACTGGCAGAAGTCGCATTATTATTACTACCAGCAGCAGCAGTTCCAGAAGTATTAGCGGGACCATCAGGCTGCTGATCTAGATCTTTCCCAGCGTTGCCACCGTCAGGCTCGATAGAAGACGTCGCATTAGCAGATATAATAGCTTTCTCGGAACTGGAACTGCTGGCGACATCGCGAAACACCTGACCTGCGGCGCTCGTGCTCCCCGCCGCCGAGTCAGCTTCAGCATCGGGCATGGATGATTCTTCCCGAGACGGGGAGTTCTGAGGCATCCTTCCGAGTAGTACCATCTTTGCGCTTAGTAACGCGGCTTCGTCTCCGCCGGCGGCTCGATCTTTCTCGTCGGCACTGCCTTGCGACATCGGTTAGCGCAGTCGCGACGTCGTCGCGGTAGTCGTAAGGCGCCGTCAAGAGCTGTCGCAGGCCCGTCGCACCACGGAACTTGCGATCCGAGTCGTCCGGGGAGGAAACGGCCGTGCTTGTCGTCGTAGGCTGTCGCACAGCGGAGGCGAGGAGTAGCAGAGAAAACGCCGTCGCGAGGGGGAGGAGGCAGAAGATGGCCTCTCGACGGGAGATTACGAGAAACGGCGGCGATTCCTTGCTGCTGCTACTACTCATACTGCTCGGACTCTTCGCTGCTGAATTCGGGCTCCCTTCTTCAGAAACATTACTCATACTACCGATAGCGTATCTTGGGGTGACTGATAAACTGCTGCGAGCGCTACTACTGCTCAATCCTTCTCCGCTGGTAATACCGTCACCAGAATCGGAGCTTGTGGGGCTGCTGGATCGCGAGGTGGGCAGCGATCGCGTGGATAGCGCTGGCGGCCATGGATCCGCCGTTGCGGACGGTGCTTCCACGGAGATAGACAAATCGTTACGTCGTGCCTGAGGGATGGTAGCTGCCATGATACTCGTATTGCTTTGACTCGTAATTTCTGGTACGACTAATTTCCGCGGCTAATGGAGGTCCAGAGGTACTAGAACCAGCGGGTTTGCATCGGGCCTTAAGGCGACCTACGACGTGACGCATGGTGTTGATGACGAACGTGCACTCGCCCATTCTGACTTCTACCATGCCTCTCAGAAACGCCACGTCGGCACAGGAAGATTTCACGCAGAGAAGGAACGTCAAATAGGATTCATATTATTGCATCATCACATGAGAGACTTCCATGGACGGAGAGACGGTCAATCAGGTGTTTCCTGGCTGTGAAGGATCGTCGAAACATGCTTTCGATCATAATCGCGCTCAGGAGAAGCTCTAAGAATCAACGGAGTTGCACGGGGATCAGGGCTCAGGTTTGGTTTTGGCTAACTCACGATTGGCAGTGTGGCCTTTTCAGAAACACTTATGAGCAGTGTGAAATTTTCCAGTACACTGATCTTGCAGTGTAACTCCTTGTTTTGAGAATTTTACACTAGGTCATCAGTGTAGGTTTATTCCGTGCACTGATGGATGTATGCTTAGTCTTTTTTCTTTAGTATGCCATTCTGTAATATTAAATTGTACTCATTCACTCTACATCATGGTTGTCCTCGCTATCAGACGACTCCACTACAGACTTGCCCTTTCCAGCACACTGCTTGTACGGGGCGGGTGTTTTTGCGGGTCTCCTCTTCTTCTGCTTCCGCCAGATGTCCACCACATCGGGCCACTTGTACTCGTAGTCCAGCATGTTGAGGGTCATCAGCTCGGATAGCCGGGCGTCGCCGAGCGATGTGCGCATCCAGCTCTTGATGACGTTTTGCCGGCTGAATCCGTGCTCGCACTCCACGGTACTTAGCGGAATGACTGCAAGCGCCTGCCACATCGATACCAGGTTCGGGAAGCTGCGTGGCCAGTCCTTGGTTTTCAGCATCTTTGCAAGCCCTTGGTAGAAGTCCTCGTCCTCGTAGTGGCGCGACATGACGTGGCAGAAGCTCTTCAGTTCCAGCTCGGCCGCACGGTGGTTGAACCCTGCAACATAAATTGACAAAAGAAGTTCAAAAATGATATCAGTCAACAGGTTTGTGGGATCCATGTTGGCACCACGAACACAGTGTGAACAGTAGAATAGCTATGTACACGTGGTCAACAACACACCTAGCAGCCTGTTTTTGAAGACACGCGCGTTGGCGTCCAACCACTGCACCACTCGTCGCTCCCGTTTGTCTTTCGCCTCTGGCCACGACTCCACCTTGTACAGTTTGCTGCCCTCCATCTCCTTCAGGCTGTACATGCGTGTGTGCAGGTTTGTCGCCACCTCCAGAGCAAACGCCTTGCACAGCTTGATGCAGTCGGCCATCGTTCCGCCGTACTTGTGTCCCTTTATCGGCGTCTCGGTCAGCACGATCTCATGCGATGTTGCCTCGCCTTCCGCATCCACGCCGTCCACCTTGATCGTCCTGTTCCCTTTGGCCATGCGAGCGATGAATGGCGTAAGCAGCTTGCTGAGTCCACCCCCAAAACCGCTCTCGTCGTACTCCACGTAGCGCAGCCTGATGCAGGCAATCGTGCGGTCCACCTCCTGGTGCACGAGCGTGATGTCAACCTGTAATCGTGGCGGAAACACGTTGACAGCGGTAAGAGCTAACAACCCAAAATGCATAACTCCGACTACAGTAAACATCAAACTATAAATAGCTTACTCTCCGGCGCTGGAAAAACTTGTTGAGGGTGTTGATCTCAGCCAGGAGATCCGCCAGGAAGTAGACGCAGAAGTGGAACTTCAGAGACTGCACCGTGGCGGCTAACTTGTGGCCGTACTCGATGAAGACTACGACTGCCGCACCTAGGACCTTGCACAGCCGCTGCACGGCGTCTCCACGCGACAACCACCTCACGTCGAAAAGGCCCTGGTGCTCGAGGTTTGTCTTGTGGATCTCTTGTTGCAGCTCCTTGAAGCGCTCGTGCCAGACGGACGACTTCGTGACGATGTCGCCGAGCCCACGGATAGCTGCGTCCACGAAGTCGAGGTCTTTGTACTTCAGTGCCGACTCCTTCACTGCAAGTACTTCTCTGCACATGGTTTTAAAAAACTGTCAGAACACTTGAAGTTGCCTGACTGAACAACACGGGAAAACCATTGACGTCGCATACCTGTGTGCTATGCAGTGCGTGCCGACGAGATGAGGGATGCGCTCACGGAGGCGCACCGTCAAACCCCGCTCGCAGCCAACCATCACACCCGCTCCGTCGGTGCTGATGGCGACGATCCGCTGCAGTTCTAGACCGACGGTCTCCAGGTGGCTTAGGAGGACGGTGAAGATACTCGCAGCATCACACTTCTGCACGGTTAGCAGCGCGAAGAATTCTGTCGCCACTTGCCGATCCTTCACGAACGTCACGAAAACTACCAAATGCTTCCCGCGCGCTCTGTCTGTGCTCTCGTCACAGCTGATGCCGATCCAAGGTGACGCGTGTATGTACATCAGCTGTTGCTGCTGCTGATAAGTGCACATCGCCTTCACCATCTCCTTGAACCCGTACCTGCAATGCGCGCAAACATGGGTTAGCATCCAAATGATATGTATTCATTAACAGAATATGGGAAAGCATGAACAGCACTCACTCCATGATATAAACACCGTAGGTCTGTAGAGGAATGTCCGAAACACCCTCTCTGGCCAGAAACTCCACGAGCCTTGGGTACATTGAGATCGGTGCGTCCTCGTCGCACACAAATTGAATGCTCCGCATGAGCCTGATGACGCGCGCGCCCTCAGGGTCTGCTCTCTCGTAGTCGTCGATCTTCTTCTGCGCAGCCAACTTGTCCAGAAGCCCCTGCTGCCGCTCGATGCACTCCTCGTGTCGAGTGCTGGCCTGGTGCGCCCGCATCGACGCTGGCTGCAAGTCGCGTCCGCCACATCCATTCCTCCCGTAACGAGCGTTGTCTGGGCCATGTTCACTGCACACACTGCAACGCAAGCATGGCAGACCATCCGCACCCTTGTCGAGCAACAGCCAATCAAACTGCGGGAGCCATTTCGTGATGTAGTTTCGCTGAGCTTCCAGGAACTTCGCCTCCGCGCGTTCAGCTGCAGTCAGCTTAAGAGGTGACGGCGCTGGAGTGACCTTGGGAGGTGGCGGTGGTGGAGGCCTCACGAGAGGCGTGCCGCTCGCAAACCCAAGTTTCAGCGCCCCCGAGTTAGAAGACTCCGGTGCTTCGGTAACGACCTCCGTCGTTTCCACGTTGTCGCGCGCGACGGGGTCCCCCTCAATGCGCGTGGGACGTTGCCATTCAGCTTCCTCGTCCTCTACCTCCTCCTGGCGCGGTGGTGACTGCCGCACTGCTGTGCGCACTGGATGATGCCACCCCTCGCTATCAACATAGGGTTCGGCGAAAGTGCTGGGTCCTGGTTCAGAAGCATTGCCTTTCAAAAAATCGAGGCCAGTCCTAGGCCTGTTGCTACTGGAAGGGTCTCCATCATCTGCATCGTCAGCGTCCAGGTCTCCAGGGGCTGCCATGGCAACGAGGTAGACGTCGCTCGGCTGCTAGGGAGGGAGGTTAGAACAAGAGGAACTAGGTGGGGATGGTGGAACGACGGTGCGGGGCGACACTGCATCTGTGCTTGCCCTACCCACAAGGCAATGCATCCAGACCGATACACCGAGTGCGCCTCGGTCGGGGAGATGGATGACAAGTGCACGCACCGACCATCTGAATGTGGTCCTAGTGAAACCACCAGATTCAGGCAGCAATACTGTACTTGATGGCAACACCGGGTTTCGTGGCGAGCAGGCTAGGGAATTATTCCAAACGGACCAATGGGAGAGGTGACTGCTGCCAACGCACATACTGTATGAAAGGTACCCTCGGTACTTGCGTGATTGACGGAAATCACAATCTGACAACTTCCCGGGAACAGGGGGGGGGGGGGGGGGGATGGGGTTCTGTACGCCCTTCAGTGTAAACCTCGCTACCGGAAACATTACCCCAGAGCATCAGTGTGGACTAAACCGATACACTTACAGATCAGTGTAACACTAATGCCCAAAAAATTTACCCCAGGCCATCAGTGTACATTGAAAATTTTACCCTTGTCAGCAGTATAGAAGGGTAAATTACACTGATAACCTGAGCCCTGACGGGGATTATTGGCAGAGCACAAATGACAATCCGATCCCGAATCTACCTCCCTTGGTCGGAATGCTGCAAAGACGCGAGAAGCAGGGATATGAAGCAGCGGACGAATAGCGGCATAAGGGCGAAGTGACGGTAGTGATTTTGGAATGAACGACAGCCAGTTTGTGGTTCGAGTGACATTATGGAAATGGTAGAGCGATTTTGGAGAGTTCTCAAAAATTGCTCACAAGGGATCTCATCTTGGGTAGGGGAGAGAAGCGATGGCTGCTTGTCAGTGGATGTGTGTGCTGGGCACCGCCTTGCTGAAATTTCTTGCAATGTCGGTGGGAGTAGGGGCGCCACGATTTGGCTGGAACGTCACGGCTCGATTATTCCTCAGAAGCGTTTCGATTTTCGACCGTTTGGACGGTCTGGAATGTTACAAGAAGGCAATCATCATGGAATAAGAATAACTATTTATTTGAATTACGAGATTAGTTAATATTCGTTGATTTTAAATATTGATTTGGATATTATACATAAAACTTTGTTCAATTTAATACTTCGCCTCTTATCTTTAAGTGCAATCCAGCTTTACAGGCTACCAATTTTAAATCAACTCATTATTAGCATATGTAAGCTCGCTACAATCGAGGAACGCTCATTCCTTGTCATGTCGCTCCCCCAAACCGATGCCTAGCTCCACAACCACCATAGTTGAAATAAGTGGTGACAACATCCCTGCTCTTGTGTGGTCCGCTGACACGTGGCATTTCGGCTATAACGATGAGCCAGCCTCTTCTCGCGTCGCAAGATGCGGAGCTCGCAACGGCGAGCTCGTCAGGAGCACCGGCGCCGAGGCTCGCCAGCGGCAGCTTCGGAAATCGGAGCTTCAGTGCTAGGTACAGGCAAGAACAGGAAAGCGCGGCTCGTTCCGTAGCCGCACATGTAAGCGGCTCGGACTCTACCATAGGTCACGCTCACTACTCGCACCGCTCGCCATGGCTGCGCGCCGCGCTTCTCGGGTCGAACGACGGGCTAGTCTCCATTACCTCCTTAATGCTCGGAGTCGGCGCCGTGGAAACCTCCCGAACGATGATGGTTATATCGGGGCTATCCGGTCTTATAGCGGGGGCGTGCAGCATGGCTATTGGCGAGTACATCTCGGTATACGGGCAGCGCGACTCGGAGGAGGCGGATCTGAAAAAAGAGCGGGACGAATTCGAGAAAGGGCCCGAGGCGGTGGCGCGGGAGTTGACCGAGCTGACTCAGATCTACGTGTCGCGCGGTGTGCCGTACGATCTCGCGCGGCAGGTGGCGGAGGCGCTGCATGCGAGCGATCCGATAAGAGCGCACGCGAGAGAGGAACTGGGCATCGACTTGGATGATTTGTCGGATCCGGGGCAGGTGAGATGCGGGGCAGGTGAGATGCGGGGCAGGTGAGATGCGGGGCAGGTGAGTTCCGCGGCAGGTGAGATCCGAGCAAAAAAGCATGGATGGAATGGTTGGGAATGGACGGGAATGGATGGAAAATCGAAATTGGGATGGATATTGATGCATCTAATTGGATGGGACATGAATGGGAATGAGCGAGACTGGTTGTGAATGGATGGACATGGATGTGAATGGATGGGAGATGGCAGTTGAATCATCTGGATTCAGGGTATGAAAGCCCATCATGGAACTCATTTGAGCCCCCATAAAACAATCTCTCCATTTTCCCCTTCCTCCCCCTCCACAATCTCTCCATTTTCTCCTTTCAGGCCGCCGTGGTTTCGGCCATTTCCTTCTTTGTGGGGGGAATCTTTCCCCTCCTCGCAGGCTGCTTCATTACAGATTACAACTCGCGAATCACTCTACTCATTGCCTTCTCCTCCATGACCTCCCTCCCCCGCCCCTTACATTTATGCAGGCCGCTGTGGTTTCGGCCATTTCCTTCTTTCTGGGGGGAATCTCACCGCTCCTTTCAGGCTGCTTCATTACAGACTACAACACGCGCATTACTGTACTCATCGCCCTCTCCTCCACGCTCTTTGTCTTGTTGGGCGCGCTCGGCGCGTGGCTGGGCGGCGCACCTCGGACCCGGGCGGCACTGAGGACGACTGTGGGCGGCTGGCTGGCCATGGCGATCACCTATTCAGTCGTGTGGGCGTTTGGTGCTTCAGGTGTTTAGTCAGGCTGGCTCCTGAGAAGCCTCAAAAACCAACTAGGCTTGGGCGGCACTGAAGACGACTGTGGGCGGCTGGCTGGCCATGGCAATAACCTACTCGGTCGTGTGGGCGTTCGGTGCTTCAGGGGTTTAAACGAGTTGGGTTTTGAGAACTAAAAACAAAAAACCATCTAGGTCCGGGCAGCACTGAGGACGACTGTGGGCGGCTGGCTGGCCATGGCAATTACCTATTCAGTCGTGTGGGCGTTTGGGGCTTCAGGTGTTTAGTCAGGTGTACATTCAGATTTGCAGCCGGCAGGAGTTGATGAGTGCACTTGTCAGCCTGAGTCCAGGTGTGAGGCATCAGGTGTGCATATGGAGTGCAGCGTTCAGGATTTGAGATGTGTGGAGTGCGGTTCTGGGAGCGAAGATTCCAGGTATGGTCTTGACTCTTAACCGCTGGGTTTTGGAATCTGAAATTGGAGAGTCCAGGTGTGGGCGTAGTGTGTGGGCAAACGTGTGCGCGTTGGGGAAGTGTATAGGTTCAGAAGTGCATTGCATGCACCACCCTCCAGTATTTTTTAGTTTAGGTCTACTGGGGGCTACCCTTAGAGCGTATTCCTATCCTCGTGTCAATTGGAACCTCATATAAAAAATGGACTTTTTGCCTGGTAAAACTAGCGAGAGGTTTTGGGTTTAGGGGAATTTTCAGTGGGAGGTTGATATGAGGTATTCTTGATATGAGGATAGGAATACGCTCTTATTCTAAGGCTGTTATTAGGAGCCGTATGTGTACTTGCTGTACAGTGTATAACAACCTGCTTATTATCACATCTGCTCTGCAAGCTCTTTTGTACTGGTTAACCAAGCATGCCTCACGCAATGGCTCCTGTTGAACAAAGCAGGGTGTCGGAATGAGCACAAAACCACCCTAAATATCTAATATGGTCACCGGTAGCCTGGCCGCAACCATTGGGAGTCTAGGGTTAAGTTGACTCTAAGGCTCAAAGCACAGCGCAGCCATTGGCAGGCACGCACTGACTCGATTTAGGTCTGGAGGTACGGTAACTCAGAACATGGTGTAGTGTAGGGCTTTAGCACTCCCACTAGAGTCAACTCAGAATACGGCGTAGGCATCAGCATGCATGGCTGTGCTGACAGCAGCACCATAGTGCCATGCTGCTGCCGTGGTAAACGGGGCATTGTGAGGCTGCTGGCTCACAGGCGTGAGCGGGTCTGTGGGTTCCAGGCCTGGCGGAATGTTGGGAAGGGGATATGGGAATGTGAGCGGAAAAGGGAGGATGTAAGTGTCCGGATGCGATGGGGCAGTATGCTGCCTGTGCATGCTCTAAATATGTCAGATGCATGCTCCACATACGTGAGGTGCATACTCTTGAAATTATGACAAAACATTATAGAGATCCGTTGGAGCCTGTGCAATATAGCAACTAATGCATCATGCAACAGTGCAAGAAGCACCAGTCATGGAAAGAAACAAAGCAGAAAAACTGCCAAACCTGACGTAAGAATACTATACCTAATCCCGAGGTGAGGAGATTACCTAATCCCGAGGTGAGGAGATTACTTAATCCCGAGGTGAGGAGATTACCTAATCCCGAGGTGAGGAGATTACCTAATCCCGAGGTGAGGAGATTACCTAATCCCGAGGTGATGAGGTGGAAGAGGTAGCTCGCATCCAGACAGGCGTACGGCGCATCCTGGCCGTTCATCAGCGGAAACTTCCTGGTGAATTCCTGCAGGGGAATGTCGCATGCTTCCTCTGCTATCCGAGCAAAGTGTTGAGCCGTGATGGTTGCTGACGTGGTTTCTGCGGTAGAATTGCTGTGAGGGATTAACCCGAACTGCTTATAAAGGGGATGGCGACACACATGCGAACCACAACAGAAAATTTATGAACGTTAGGTCTTCGGTGAAATTGTGGCCAAAACAATGCGGAGAAGATAAAACATTGGGGGTATGAGGGAGCGCTGAGTTCAGTGGGGGTATGGAACTGCATTAGAACCCCCTTCTACCCACTTACAACCCGCCTTTCACCACAAGCCCACTTGTTGTGCCGTCAAATGAAGCCAGCATCATTTCATGAGCAACGACCTGTGGCGACAACAACCTTCACTGCCCCCTCCTCTGCCAGCATCACTTCACGGAAATTTTCAAAAGCGACACAGCGTGAAATTATTGCTCCGCAGCCCACCTGTTGCGCAGCGTCAAAAAGGGCCGAGGAGGTGGCAAGCTGCACTGCGCCCTCTCCTCCTCTGCCTCCTCTGCGCGCACCCCACAGCCCATTCAGCGCGCTAGGCAGTATCCCGTTTGATAACACATGTGTAGATTGAGAATCTTCTGGAGAGGTACAAGTAACAGAATGACCCACCTGTTGTGCCGCGTGGAAGATTCCCGAGGTGGCAACAAAAATCTGAACCACGCCCTCTCCTCCTCTGCCTCCTTTGCGCGCACCCCACGGCCCATCCAGCGTGCCAGGCAGCAAGCACGCCCGCCCTTGCGGACACACAGGTGGATGGGCAGATGCTGGGTGCTTGTCAGCGCTGCTGCTGGTGCTGCTGCTGCTGCTTGTGCTGGTGGTGCTGGCGTTTGCTGCTGCCGCTGCCTGGAGTGCTTGAAGGGTGAGGGAGGAGCACAGGGCTGCACGCAAAGAGGCAGCAGTGGCGTCGCTGCTGGGCTTGGATGCGCCTGGAGAGGGGGGGCGGGTGGGTGACATGTGAGGCAGGGGGAGGGGTACGGGGAGTTGGAAGGCGGAGCAGAGGGCTGCACGCAAGGAGGCAGCAGTGCCGTCGCTGCTGGGCTTGGATGTGCCTGGTATGGGGTGGGTGGTTGACATGTGACGCAGGGGGAGGGGCACGGGATGGGGGAGTTGAAAGGCGGAGAGCAGACGGCTGCACGCAAGGAGGCAGCGGTGCTGTCGCTGCTGGGATTGGGTGTGCCTGGAGTGGGGTGGGTGGGTGGTTGGCGTGTGGAAAAATGGGGAAAACGTATGTGTGGGTTGTGTTGTGATGTGAGTCTACTCGTTGTGGTTGGAGTGGGATGAGTAGTTGGCGTGTGGAGCAAAGGTTAGGCGCACGGGATGGCGGGAGGAGGCAGTGAGCGCTTTGCAGATGGCCCATGGCACTGAATGGGCGGTCATGTGTTGCTATGCCATAGGCGCGGCCTCATCCCATGTGCACTTATCCATTCCTTAAATGGGTGGTGAGAGGCAGAGGGGCATGTGACAGGGGAGGAGGGCAAGCAATGGAGAAACATCACCTAGGCCATGCAAAGGCATGGCCGCACTGCACCAGACACCCTAGTAGAAACCAAGTGCATGCATGCATGGCAGCGCCACACAATAATCTCCCGTGCATCAGAATGTACACACAACGCCAATACGAGAGCCCATGTGCGTGTATTATTTAATGCATGGGCATACCACGAGAGCCCATGGGCATGCATGGATGGCCCTGGGTGTCGTTACTTGCCCGCAGCACCATTGCTCTCCCTGCCATTAGCCCATAGCCCTGCATGCTGGTGCGTGGTGGGAAAGCGGTTCAGAGGGATGGAGATGGAGAAGCAGATGCAGACGGGAAGGAAGAGGATCGGCAAGATGATAACTAAGGCGCCTCTTAAAAGAGGCCAACAATGTGAGATGCCGAAAAGACGTTTCTGGTGCATGCAACCGGATTCATCTGAAATCGTGATCGCATTCGATCCCTGCTGCTCCCTCTCTACCTGCTGCCCTGCATGCACGCACAGGACATCACGAGAGTACAAACCCTCCCCTCTCACCTGCGCACGTAGACATGGTGGTTGCTTCCCCAACCGTTTAACGTCCTCACGTATCCAGCTGGCACCTTATCCGCAACGTCAGAAGGAACTGCATATGTCACGTGGATGCTGGTATTCCCCAGGCCCACCACTGCCACTGTTGACTCCAGGTGGTTTTTCAGGTGCTTTCCCTGGTGCTTGCCCAGGTTGCCCAGGAGATGGTTCACAGCTGTCTGGATAACACGGGTGAGGTGGGGAGAAAGAAGCAGTGCCTTGATATGCCATGCACCATGCCATGCACCATGCCATGCACCATGCCATGCACCATGCCATGCACCATGCCATGCACCATGCCATGCACCATGCCATGCACCATGCCATGCACCATGCTATGCACCATACGCATGCATCATACGCATGCACCATACGCATGCAAATGCTCCCTCCCCTACGCTCCCATGGCCTGGCCAGGCCACAACAACACCCTGGCTCATCCACACGCCACCCCTCTCTATCTTTCCCTTATCTCCCCCACAGCCTCCCACCAGCCCCCTCTCTCGCCGTCTCCCCCGTCGCCCCACCCACCCAGGTAAGGAAGCCCCCATCAGTGTCATCAAGGTGTACTTTGATTTCAGTCGACTCAAAATGCACCTGCCTCCTCCCTCTCCCCCATCTCTCCCCCTGCCTCCCCCAAACTTTCCCCCCTCCTTCACCCCTCCACGCCCCACGCACCCAGGCAAAGAAGCCCTCGTCAGTGTCATCAAGCGTGCTGACGTCACCATGGGTGAATGGGAAAGGGTACTCCGTCAGCATTTGGCGGATCTGGGGGGAGAGGAGGGGTGGGGAAAGGGGAGGGGGAAGGTGGGTAAGGCCGGGTTAGGGGGGGAGGAGGGTTTAGGATAAAAGGAGGCAGAATTTTCTTCTGGTTTCGACTGAAAGTAAAAAAGTGAATGGAGGGAGGGAAGAAGGGAACACGGGCGAGATCCACGTTTAATATGTTTCATTCTATTCTTGTCTCTCCTCCACCAATGACCCCTCTAAAACGCCGCAAGGGCTGCTGCGCTGAATACTGAGCATCATGCCGACTCATCCCTCCCTCAAGTCCTCCCCTCGCACCCGCCTACCTCCGAATTTTCAGCCGATTCAAACATCAGCTCAGTACTCCCAACAAGTAACTTTTCCAGTCGACGCAATTCCAAGTTGAAAAGTTATTTGTTGTCATGCCATCCCTTCACTCGCCTCTCTCTCTCACCTACCTGCCGCCTCCCTTCCCCCATTCACAGCCTGCCCAAGGCTCCTGAATTGAAAACCCAAAGCACCAAGCCTCACCTCTGCTAGGATCTTGTCTGCTTGATCACCTGGGAGCAATCCCTGCCCTCCAATGGCCTGCCATGCATACAGTCACACACGCATAAGATCACCATGCGATACAGGTCAGCATATGCGATACAGTCAGGCAGAAATAGGATCACCAAGCCAGTACAACCACAATAAAGCGCATCATTTTACCCTGACAAGGTTGGGGGCAACCAGCAGCGTACCCTGACAAGAATGGGTGTGACTGGTCGAGTGAACTCGGGCACGGCTTTAAGTGCCTTCTTCATCAGCGGTCGCAGGCTGTTTGCTGCTGCTGTGACATTATCCCAGTATGCGGCCAGCCCGGGTTTCACCTGTCATGAGAACCAACAGCGTGAAGGGAGCATAAGAGTAGCTTTAAGTGCCTTCTTCATCAACGGTTGCAAGATGTCCACTGCTACCCTGGGATTATCCCAATATGCTCCCAACCCGAGCTTCACCTGTCGTGGCAGCGAATAGCATGGCATGGCATGGCGAAGCATTGGCAGAGAATGGTAATGGGAGAGCATTCCAGCAGAGAATATGAGCGGCGGAAGCAGGTATTAGCGTTGCCTAGAAAGCCCTCTACAGTAAAGAGTAAAGGGAAAGTGTTGATAGAAACTCCAGGAAAATAACAAGCAAGCGTGGAAGAGAGAAGGAAGAATCTATTTCATAAGAGAACTCACTGATTCCACCTTTGAAAGCAGGGTACAAAACACAGAGAGTATCACTGTCTTTCTTTTGCTAAAAATATCTTTCTAACTGCTGCTCGCCCTAGTCTTCATGGCTGATAATCTACATAATCAGAGAACTCACTGATTCCACCTTTGAAAGGTGAAGATCAGAAGGAACTCACCGAATGCACCTCTTCAAACCCTTTCTGAATCTCCCCCAGCTCCATCCGCGAATCAAATCTGTACACGTGGACGCTGCTGCTCTCCGCGCTCACGGCGTCAACCACAACAGCATACGTGTCCCCCGCGCTCTCCGCACCACCGCCACTGGCGCCACTTTCACCGCCCGCCACCATCTTAATCGCCGTCGACTTCCCCTGCTCGCGCATGTTAATTATTCTCCCGTCGCGTGACGGAACCTCGCGATCCGACGCGCTTCCGCCATGGCCGGAGGATCTGCCGTGCGCGCCGATTAGGGTAGGGGAGCCGTTGTCGTTGTCGGAAGCGGGGGTGAGGACGAAGACGAAGAGGATTAGCGCCACGAGTGCCACCGGAATGGCCGCTACGAGCGCGACGCGACGCGATCGCACCACGCGCTCCCGCGCCGAATCCTGCCGCCGCGCCACGACCATCGACTGGTCTGATTGAAACACGTGGGATTGTTTTGATGATTCTGGAAGACAGACTCGTTACAAACACGTTCCTTGAACGCAGATTAGAAGTGTTTAGTGGTATGAGCTTTCCCAGTCATGTTGACCATGCGACGCGACAGCAATAGCATGGCTGACCACAGCGACGCGGGCAGGCCGTAGGGAAGTGCTATTGGAAACTGGACAGTTTTGCTCAATCCCGCGGAATCGCGGGTTGTTTTATTATCGCCACGTGGCATGCCTTCGATCGCGCAAACCGCGATCTGTTTTATTGTTATCACAAAAATCGGGAGAATTTTAGTTAAGTTTTGTACAAATCTGCCCGCGGGCAAAAATAAAACCCATTTGGGCCTGGCATGCGTTAGGGAGGCATCAACCCTAAACACCTTGCCTCTAGGAGTTCAGGGTTGATGCATCCCTAACGCATGCCTTACGTATAGGGGTTTTATTTTTGCCTGCGGGCAGCGCAGTACAGAACTTAACTAACTTTCTCTAGAAAGTTGTGATAACAATAAAACAGATCGCGGTTCACGCGATCATAGGCTCGTCACGTGGCGAAAATAAATCAAACCGCGCTTCCGCGGATTTGAGCAAAATTCTCTGGAAACTGACTTGATTTTCCTGCAACAGTCGCGTGGAATGATGTCCCCGATAACACAACCACGAGGTTGAGTAATGATAACAGTATTACGGTACATAACAAAGGCCAATGCAGATAGGTGACACATAAGCATACTAGACTCCTCTTAACGGCCTATAACAATCACCAGGTGCCTTTTAGCAGAGTTAGAAGGCTGAGCAAGATTCAGTTGTACAAAACAAATAGCATGGGGGTTACATTTGACTAGAGCACATTTTGAATGCTCAGTGTTGTCATTTCCAGGGCATAGCATGGTGGGCTGGGCTTCTGTAGGCATCGCATCTTCCCTGTTGCACCGTAAGCTCACAACAAAGCCATGAAATCAGCTTCCCTGCTGCACACCGCCATGCTCTCCCTTGCACTCCCCACAGCCCACCACCCCACGCAAACTTTCCTCCTCAGTCTTCACCTTCTCCTTCTTATCCTCCTCACCTTCCTCTGTCCACCTCCGTATTTGGGTCTGATCCTTCTCATTGGAACCTACGCAACTCATGTCCCTGAAGCGCCGCAAATAAACCGCCACCAACCGCTCTCCAACCCATTATCCTCGTCCGCATCCTCCCCCTCATCCTACAATATAATCACAACCACGCACACCACATTCTTGCTGCAGTGCTGCGCATGGTCAGTGCAACCAACATGGCCAATCTTGCTTATGAGACGCCCCAGTCCTCTACCCATCCTCCTCGTCCTCCTCCTCATGCTCCGATATAATCACCACCGCACACGGCACGTTCTTGCTGCAGTGGTGCGCCAGCTCAGTGCAAGTCTGCAAGAGACATCGCCAGTCTTGACCTAGGCCGTCTAACTCTCAAACCTCTACCCGTCCTCTTCATCCTCTTCCTCATGCTCCGATATAATCACCACCGCGCACGGGGCGTTCTTGCTGCAGTGGTGCGCCAGCTCAGTGTGGCTGACGTGGCCAATCTTGGACAGCACCTTCTGGATCGTGTTCTGCTGAGCTGGCTCGTGCCTGGAGATGCCACGTGTCGTCGCCAGCACGAGCACGTCAGCTGAGATCATGTCGCAGAAATTGACGACCGCATTGGCCACGGACTTGGAATCCAGTAGAGCCACCTCGAAACGCACCTGAAGGTAGGTGGGAAGGGACATGAGAGGGAGTGTGTGTTGAGTGGCCAGGAGGGGCACGTCAGCAGAGATCATGTCGCAGAAAGTGACTCCTGCGTGAGAGAAGTGAATTTCCAAGACGTCTCAAAATTTCACTAATTTCACGTGGCTACTTGCTCACTGCCCCGTTCCCCCAACTCCCCTTTCCACCCCCCCTTCCCCCTTCTCCACTCACCTTCTTCTCAATGGACACCCCCACGAGGCGGGACAGAGCTTGCTTAGCATCCCCATCCCACTTGAGGCGTTTCAGCAGCACGGGTGCAGTCGCCTCATCAATAACAGCCGTGCCCGTCCCGATGGTCGACACGTTGCTCACTGACGGCCCGAGGCCTCGTCAATCACACCCTCTCCTTCATCCCCTCCTCACCTTTTTCTCGATAGACACCCCCACAAGCCTTGAAAGAGCCTGCTTAGCATCGCCATCCCACTTGAGTCGTTTCAGCAGCACGGGAGCCGTGGCCTCATCAATCACAGCCGTGCCCGTCCCGATGGTCGACACGTTGCTCACTGACGGCCCGTGCGCTCCCCCGCCGCCCGCACTGCCGCCCGCACCGCCCGTGGCCGTCATGAGCTCTTTTAGCGCCTGCTCGCGGTCGCTGCCGTCCGTTTCCTCGCCGTCCTTTATGGAGTCTGGACGGGGGTGGGGGGAAAGGGGGGGAACGGGGGGAAGGGGGGGAAGAGGGGGCAGAGAAAGGGGGAAGTTAGTGGTCAGTGGATGATGGGAATGGGAGGGATTGGGCTGCTCCGGTCATGAGCTTCTTAAGCGCCTGCTCCCTGTCGCTGCCATCCTTTTCCTCCCCGTCCCTTATGCAGTCTGCAGGGAAGGAGGGGGAGGGAGGGGTAGAGCAGAGAGGGGGGATGAGTGGCCGTCATGAGCTCTTTTACTGCCTGCTGGCGGACGCTGCCGTCCGTGTCCTCTCCGTCCTTTATGGAGTCTGCAAAGGGGGGGAGAGAGGGAGGAGAGAAAAGGGAGGAGAGGGGGTTGGCAATGAGAAGAGGGGATAGGAAAAAGGGGTGAATGGCCTGCTCACGGTCGCTGCCATCCATGTCCTCTTCATCCTTTATGGAGTCTGACCAGGGGGGGAGTAGAAGTGGGCAACCGGGCGGGCGGGGGTTGGTGACAGTAGGGTGGTAATGAGAAGGGGGATGTGCTGCTGCCGGTCGCTGCTATCGCTGTCCTCCGCATCCTCTGGAGTAGAAACTGCACGGATGGGAGAGTAGAAGCGGGAGGGCGGGTTCATGGGAAAGCGGGGATGGGAACAGGGGATGGGAGGGGGTGGGGTGGGGGGGGAGAAGGGGGAGGGGTGGAGGGGGATGAATGTCCTGCTCCCAGTCGCTGCCGTCCTTGTCCTCCCCTCCCCATCCTTTATGTACGGTAGTCTGAAGGGGGGGAGAAAGGAGGTGGGCGATGGGGGCCGGGTATGGGGAATGGGATGGGGAGGTGAGAGGGGGTATGGGGGATGGAAGATGGGAGAATTTTCCGGCACCGGAGAGGTGCGGGTGAGGGAAGGGGGTGGAGGTGGGTTTGGTTGAGCCTTGAGGGGCATTCGCAACGGCCCAGAGAACAGCAATGGTTGGGGTGTTGGGCGCAACCCAGGTGTGGGTTGTTATGAGGTAGCTTGCACTCATGCTGGATGGATGGATAGACGGATTCATTCTGGGAGGGGAAGTAGAAACCTAAGCACAGGATAAAATCTAGGGTTGGGGATGGGAAGCTGGTCCTGGGGAGGAAATCTAGGGTACGAATGGGGAATGGAGGAGGAAGGAAGTGGCGAGGGAGGAGCGAGGGTGTGGCGAAGGAGGATGGGGGAGGAAGGGAGAGAAGGAAGCGCGCGGCTTGCCTGCTCGGGGGACGCGGAGCGCGGACCGCCACGACGTGCGGTTGTGATAGAGCGCCACGATCAAACGGTCGTCGTGCTTCCGCATGCGCTCCTCCACGAAATCGCGCAGCGCGTCGATGCACATCTCGCAGCCGTCCATCGCCGCGACAATCGTACGGCCCTGATTGACGCTGAAGATGGTCGGCAGCCGGCTCTTGGCCATCATCTTGACTTGAGACTTCTTAAAATTCCGCAACCGCGCGAAACTACGTTCGGTTGAGGCGCCTTAGAAGGTCTCTTAACGGACTTTCTGAAATCGAAGCCTCTACCGCAACCGCGCGGGTCCCCTAGAGATATCCAATCTCCGCAAGCGCCTATTAAATACTGTGATTGCTTGAAAACCTACTATTCTCTTGAAGGCTAGAGAAGACGATTCGAGGCTAGCCCAGTTGCCGCCAGGCAGCCATGGCTGGTCCTGGGCGGCGCGCACGCATGGCGGCCGGCCCGACTGTCGCCTGCCAATGACACCGGCAACAACGAGGCTGGCCCGCTGCTTCTACCGCCTTCTGTGGACTTCAAGTAAAGGCGCAATGCGGCTTCCGCTGTCTTCCCCCGCAATGCGCAATGCGGAAACGTTGGCGAAAATTGGAAGAGGCTGGTGGTAGAATCGACCTGTCTACTAGCGGCAAGAGGGCACGAGAGCGCTGCGACCCATGAACCGCATTGCAGCGCGCAGCGTTTCAACTGGCTCGACAGACGAAAGGGTAACTTCGAAGCGGAGCTCGAATTGCCTCGCACGCCCTTGGGTGGGACAGGAAGAATGCTCGTCCTCGGTCTGTCTGTTTGTCTTTCTGTCTGTCTGTCTAGGTCATAATGCCGTCTTGAACCTTGACTTGCTTGCGCGGAGCTGCTTTTTTCTCTCTTTTTTTCCTAATAGGCGGCGGTGGCGTTGAAGCAGGGGAAGAAGCGCGACTGCGCGCCGGGATTAATAGACAATAGTGACGGGAGTAATGTGCTTCGCTCTGTGTTGCGGAGGAAAATAGGCGCTGAAGTTGGTGTGGCTGGAGGGAAGGACGGCTGGAGATTAGTTGTTGAAAATGCTCGATATTAGAGTCACGAGCGACAGATAAGCGAAGGAGAAGTGTTCGGGTACATTGAACTATTCTCATTACCCATTATGAGTTTCCCAGTGGAAAAAAAAAAAAAAAACAAGCACTGGGTAATATATAGTAATGGAATTCAGAGCAATGTATGGACGTTTAGGGCGTACCAAAAAACTGAAAATAGAGGGTGAAAGACTCACATGAACAAATAGTAGACATACGCAAATTAGACATCTCATCATAGTCTTTCCTTATCTAGGAGCCCTCATTAGCGGAACCCGCAGATTCGTA